GACACGATGCAGATACATCCAGTCAGTCTTTGGAAAGACAATTCAAGATACACAATTTAAGATAACTATATTAAAGAGTTCTCTAAAAGCTAAAGCTTTTCTATCTTGGGTAAACTGTAATAATATATTTGGGGGTATGCTGAGCTAATGGGCTGATGGACACTTCAGAATTCAGCCTGATGGGGCTGGGAAGTAGCACATGAAGGATAAGAAAGAAGGGCAGACAGCAGGTTTTTATTCTCCCTGCATCTATCTTAACCTCAACACTTTACATTCTGCAAGTAGAATTTTTTCTGGGGCAGCTGAAAAGAACAATGGGAAGGAGGATGGTCCTATTTCCTGTAAAAAAGAAAGAATTCCTGATGTCTCAAGATAATACAATTAAGTGAATAATTATATATACATTCTAATTATATCATGTTACATGTCTAATCGCATTAAAACATTCTTTGTGGGCATCAATTCAAATATTCTACCTATTGTGAAGATATAGCTCATTCAGTATATTTTAAAATTCATTTATATTAAAACTTAAAGGCAATATTAATCATTTGAATTTTTTGATAAATTATTTTAATACTTACTGCTTCTGCTTCTGCTCTTGTCTTGAATGTAATTACTGCATGAAGTGACGAGTCATCAATCTGATAATCTTCAATTTCACCATATTGCTTTAAATATAAAAAAGTATTTCCTCCCAATAAATATTTTGAAACATCCAAAAATTCCAAAAGCATTAAAATACTAGTATTACCCAGAATATGTAACAAGTCATATAGGTTAACAGAAAAGAATGGTGAATAATTCATTTTAGTACTTGATATTGTTAGATAAAGGGTGGTCCTATCTTCTAATCTTATTTCCAATTCCATACTTTAATGAATTAGTGAAACATATTCAATTGAAGTACTCTTTAAATGAAGCCAATGGTCAAAGCTGAGCTTCTTTACTGACCTTTTACTTCTGCTTATTACTCCAGTCCGTGGACATGCTAAACTGTTTCTTAAGCATACTGAATCCTCAGAAATTCTCATATCATTTCCAATAAATAGGAGAAGATTCAAAGGAGTTAGGTAATTTTCCCAAAGTAATAAATTACCAAGATGAGAGTCCAGGCCTCATGATTCAAAGGTTTAACACTCTAGCTGACCACACTTTCACTTGGTATATACTCTGCTGTAACATACACTCTTTTAGGACACCTAAAAGCTAAACATGTTATACTATGCCCATTTTTGGACTGTTGGATTTTTTCCCCGTGTGTAGGAAGATTTTTCTACAACAATTTTTAATGATATATAAACTTTATATATCATCGGTCCTTTATTTAATACTGTCCTTCCTACTGAAAAATAAAAACTATGATCTCATTAAATACACACACATCCCCAGCACAGAAAAATTCTGTAGAGCACAGCAGAATGGAGTCTAAGAGCCACTAATATCCCAAGTCAACTAGTTACTTTTTAAACTTGCACAAGTTACCTAATCTCTTCATGTTTCATTTTCCTCATATAAGAAATAGGCATGACAAAGGTACCTATGCCATAGGGTGAGTCAAACAAAACCTAGTAACAGTAAATTATTTTTAAGGCTTACAACACTCAGAATAACATCTGGTAAAAAATATGTGCTTTATTTTGACTATTAAGTTTTATTACTATTACTAGCCCAATGAATAAAACTGGCATTATGTTAATCACAATTTCTAACAGTCAATGGTCCTTTAAAAATGTTAATTTTTTTCTCATACTTCTCATGTTCAAATCATAAACTCAGCAAGAAAAGTTAAACTTTCAATTTGTTTTCTTATTTAAGACTAGTAATTTTCAAATGTGAATTGCCACTGCTAACTTTTGAGTAGAGCTCAAATCTCTAAGTGCATGGAAGAATTTCCATTGAGAGGCTCTGAATATTTCTCAAATCAAAGCCATTCTGGTCTCACCAAAACACAATCATAACAAACTTACCTTGTCTGGATATTTTAGTACAATCACTGCTAGTTTCCTGATTCGCTGTATAACTATATGCAAGACACTTAAAGTTATTGGATCTCCTTTCCTTCATGGAAGGTGTAGAGTAGGGTACATAGCAGGGAAGAGTTGGGCTAGATTATCTCCAAGCTCCTTTCTAGTTCTCTGATTTCTTTCTTTATCCCTTTAAATCCACAAAGCACAAGACTTTCCAGACTCCTCATCCTTAAATATTAATCATTTTAGTTATTTCTGAAACATCAACCATTTCTTTTAATACCTCTTTATGTCCTGACAAAGTATCTGTTAACTGCTGCAGTCCTGGACTATGACTGTCAAATGCTGAAATCTAAATTTTCAAAAGGTTAAATAATTTGCATACTTCATAAGCTTACTTATCCTTCATGATCTAAGCTCCAGTTTTACTACCTGCTTGAAACTTTCCTCCACTGTTCTTTTTTCTATCATATGTCAGGGTCAAAAATGCTTCTTTTAAATTACTAAAGCATTTATATTATTTAATAAATTGAACTTCATTATAAATTGTTTATGGTTTACTATAACAGGTCTGTGTTAAATCAATACTACATATAAAATCCTTCAGGGTAGAAAGAACCATTTGCTTCATATTTAAAGAGCAATTACCAGAATGTTGAGGGTAAAACTGATGCTTAGTTACTAACCTTTGAGATACCACTAACAACACAATATTTAAGATGAAAGAGAGTAAAGGAGGGCTTAATCTTTTCCACTTTGCACATGAAACCTAGTGAATCCAAGTCCAAGTTAAACTATGGATTAGACACCATCCAATCTACTACCTTCAGATAGGCTCTTTTTTTTTGGTACTGGGGATCGAACTCGGGTCCTTGAGCTTGTGCAGCAGGAGGCAAAACAACTGAGCTAAATCCCCGGCCCAAGATAGGCTCTTTTTAATTATAACCCTCCACTGACCAAGACAATTTTAAGATGATATATCAAAATGTTGTCTTCTTTCAGTTCTGGTCAGATGGATCATGAATATAAAACAAATAAAATTCCATTTTAATAAAATTCTGGTTGGCTTATGTAATATGCTAATTTTTTTTTTTTTTTTTAAAGAAAAAAATCAAACAAAACTACTGGCTGGCCTTCTCTGAAACAATGAGAATTAAATCATTTCAAAGTACCTGAAGACCTACTTGGTGTAAGAATTATATTATTCCAGATAATTAAAAAAATTGTAGAGTTTCAAATTTATAGTTTTTGAAAAGATTATTATGGATAATCAAACCCTTTGTTCAGGTCAATGGGTTTAAATTATTCATGTTTTCATAATTTTCTCTTTAATTATACCAATTATCTCCAATGATGATTATCAGTATTTATTATCAGTATTTATTTTGTTGGATAGTAAAAAAGTACCGCAAAATGAGGAAGAAGATCTTCTCTATCACTCTCTGTAAATGCAGAAATCTCCAATGCTCTGGGACGGTGATCCACCACCACATGGCCGGGTACACTTCGCCCTCGCCCTCGTGCTCTGCCTCGGCCATGAGCTGCACCTCGACCTCTTGAATGAATTCCTCTGCCTCGTCCAGATGAAAGAATCCCCCTTTTAGCAGCCTAAAAGAGATTGGACACATACTTTAAGCAATGTGGTAATCAGAATTGAGTATCTCTGGGCCAGGGGTTTAGCTCAGTGGCACTGCGCCTACCCTGCAAGCATAAGGTCCTGACTTTAATCCCTGGCACCAAAACAAAACAAACAAAAAAAGAATTAAGTATCTTTTCTCTAAAATGTTTAAGATCATAATTGTTTCAGATTTTGGAGTTTTTTTGGATTTGGCAATATTTGCATAGACTGTACTGATGGCGCATTCCTAATCTAAAAATCCACAATCTGAAGTTTTAGGATTCTGGAGTATTTTGGACTTCATTAATTTATCCTAAAAACTAATAGAATTACCGTGGTAAGAGAGCATTCACTGGAAAATACTGCATTATTGCATGTATTGACTATAAAATAAACTCAAGCTATCATAAAAGAAAAATAGAAACTATCATTCAGTATTTAGCTACATAACAAGGAAGAAAAACATAAACTAATAACAAATTTTAATAATGCTATCACTTACTAAAATTATAGGCCAAAATTTTTAAATGATATTTTGTTTCTTATGCCAACACTGGCATGAAATCTCCAGAATGAGAAAGCACAATTTCTATATTAACATAAAAGAAATATTATTCAAAACCTCATATTTTTGATGGGACATACACAACCTGATTAAGTTTCCAGAGAATGCAAACAAATACAAGTTTAGGACAATATCCTAAGCTGCTTCTGACTTTCAGACAAGATGCGGCCTTGTCCACAGATTTCTACTGTGCTGGGAACTCCCTCACCCCCCAAAGAACTGAGGAAAGTATTAAAATCAAGTTAAATAGAATAAAATACAAAAACTTTAAATTGTTGCGCCAAATAACGAATACAGACATGTCCCTAATTTGTAAATGCCATTAATCTCTGTGCTTCAAAATGTAATTCCAACTTTAAATCTTCCTGCCAACTATTAAAAATTCTCATGTCATATTACAGGAACTAAAATTTTGCTAGGGGTTTCTCATATAAATAACTATGTAACTAAATTATAAGAAAGTAGTTTATTTTCTCTTTTAAAATACCTGCAGCACCATCTATAGGCAAAACTTAAGTAAGCACATTTTTCAATATAGTTCTACCACTGAAAGTCAGCTCTTCACAGGAATTCAATATAATAAGCCTGTGTATGCGAAGAGTATCTCCTGGAAAGAGTATCTGAAAGCCTTTAATAGGTTTCAGCTGTAGAAAGAAAGGCCACAAAGAGAAAGAAAAAAAATTCAATAGAAATGGAGACTTGAATGTACTGGTAGAACCATTACCTCTCATTAAATAAGATTTTTTTCGCTAGTTCTGAAAGGAAAAACTGTTAACCTCTTTCCTCTCTCCTACGTCAACAGTCCTTGACCAGAACAAAGGATATACATTTTCAAGTTAACCACTACAACTACATCTACTTTTTTTAATTATATGGTATCGCTGTGATGAAACATACTTCCAGTTGTAATTCTGTATACTTTCTCCTAAGTTCAGTGACTTCTTCTCCAGCCTGCATCTTCTTATATAAATCCAGTTCTGTGTCAAGTAATTCTTTCTGCATCTAAAATATGTTAATTAATATTTTAGGAGATAATAATTAACACCTTGTATTATAGTAAACTTTTTTCCTGAAAAAAAAGAAAAATCTGAATTTAATTAAAGCTTGTCATTTCATACATTCCCATTTAGTCCATATATTTCATTTTTATTGATAGTACTATTACTCTAACCTAAGCTAATAACCACCTCTGGTCAATAACACTGCAAGAGCTTCCTAACTTGTTTCTATTTACACTGACTGCCCTAAAATTCATATTCTGCACAGCAGCCAGAGTGAGCTTTCTATGGATATGGAGTAATTTCAGGAAATAACTGTGAAACGAAAACAAAAAAACCACAGTGCTAACAAGCAATATAGAGTAAGTTTTTATGCAAGTAAGAATAAACATACAAATACATTATTCATATATTCATACACACACACACACACACACACACACACATACACACACACACACCCCTACAAAAAGAAGCATTAGAAGGATAAACCAGAAACTAATGACACTGGTTACCAATAGAGAATGGGTAGGAACATAAGGAATCAAAAGGGCTCTTGATGTATACCTTTTTATATGGTTTGGCTTTTAAACCATGTTAATGTTTTGTTCATTCAAATAATAAAATTAAGTCAACAAGAATTATAGCAAAGGGAAGAGCAGCCAAAGCTGAATACAAACAGGAACAGATCTAAGTTTATCAAACTGATAATACAACATATAACAGGGGAAAAAAAATCCTAGATTAATTATGACATTTCACCCTTAACAGAATACATTGAGTTATAAAGACTAGGAAGAAATTCTGAATTTAAATTTAGTTATTAGAAAATATTCTAGCAATTCTGAAACTAATTTGAATATATGATAGGTGTGGTGTTAATGAATAATATACTGCTATCAGTAGGATCATATATAATACAGAATAAAAAGTGAAACCATGTGGTGTTGGATTAAAATCAGAACTATCAATCTTATGATTTTACATATATACACATAGCAAGTATACATCTACCAAGTATAAATACTGCATAATCCTATATTATTCCTAATCACTTACTACTATCTGAAATTATCTTGCTCACTTGTTTGTATCTAGCAGATTAATCTACTCAAATTTTCCCCTTTCCAATGAATTCATTCTGCATAGAAAGTTACTTCTCATGAAATAAATCAGACACTAATGTTTAAATATTGCATTGTTTCTCTGGTGTGACAAACTGAAAGGGTAAATAAGGACCAAAATATATAACAGATGTTGTGAAATGGGAAGAAAGTACTCAAATAGGAAGGGGAACAATGGAGTGGGGAGGGGGATGGGATAGAAGAGAAAAGCAAAAAAGAAACTAGAAAAAAATGGAAACAAAATGTTTGTAAATAAGAAGAGGGGTTGAAGGGAGTGGAGGGAGTTGGGGAAAAAAGGAAGAATCAAGGTATATCATGTATAGGTACAAATTTCCTATGATGAATGTTATCATTATGTGTATCTAAAATGTATAAAACTAATTTTTTTAAAAAAATGTTGCTTCTGTCATTGACCTTTTATATCACCAACTACTTGTAAAGATCAAATAAATGCCTCTGTAAAACAATGAAGTACCATATCATTCTGTCCTTAAGTTACCTTTTCAAAATTACCCATATAGCAATCATTTTCCTAATTGCTGACTTTCCAGCAGTAGCCCCACAAGGACACAAAAGATTAGTAAAGTTCAGAATGGCCAGATTTTGAACAAAGGACATTACCTAAAACTGAATCTCAGAAAAACAATGTTAAATGTTTTAAAATAAGCTATGATATAAATAATAACACAACTTAAAATACCTGAGTCTTGGTTTTTATACTTTTTGGAAGACAGCGCCCAGGAGAAGTGGCTTTAACTTCATCTTTCAACTTGGTAATATTTTTCGTCAAAATTTCTAAAGTTTTCATTATTTCTGCTTTATCTTCAGATTTCATAGTTTTATTTTTCTCTAGTTTTGAAATTAACATCTGCCAATTTTTAAAGAGAAAAATCTTAAGGTACTTACTACTATTAACACGGCCAAGTAAAAATAAAAATAAATACCACTACTTTTAGTTTATGTATTCATGACAAAGCTAACTACTACTCAGTATGTAAAGATAGCAGAACAGCAAATTTGGTGATGCTGACAGTAGTATCTAAAAATTCAAGTCTTACTACTGGTTTTTTTCCTTTTAAAGAACTTAATTACTATTTGATTCCCTTAGTACCTAAGTTCAAAGTACATAACCAGAAGAAATTCAACTCAATCCCTGAAAAGTTATCAGTTAAGAATATCAATTCTGCGCCAGGGATTTAGCTCAGTGGTTCCACTGCCTGCCTCACAAGCGCAAGGTCCTGAGTTTGATCCCCAGTACCAAAAAAAAAAAATCAATTCTACTGTCTAATCCATTTGTTATGATGCCTGTTCAGTATCCTCACTCCAAATGTACTGTGCAAGCCAGAAAAAACCAGCGGAAAAGATGCAGGGCCTTTTTAATATAACAAGAAATTAGAAATATTGAATTTATAATTATTTTGTCACAGGGAACAACAACTGGTTAGCCTGAGAATGATATCTTCAACAGAGAAGACAGAAAACAAGAAGATAAGCAAGGTAATATGTATATGTGGAAGAAACCACAAAGTATTGCAGGTTTTACAAGTTAAGAAAGCTTTAATTTTGGTGCAAAGCATCTTGATTTCTCTTTATGCAGTACATCCAAATTTAAATTAGAAAAGACACATTTCTAATTGAAATGTTTTCTATATTTTCAAATGTTCTATTACTAACCTTCATAGACATAATGAAGACTTACATTAATTAAATGTCATAAATTAGAGCAACATTGCCCAAAAAAATCAGCCACATAAGTAATATTTAATTTTCTAGCAATTACATCAAAAAGCTAAACAAATAAAAGTGGCAATATTTTACTTAACCTAATATATCCAAAATGCTTCATTTTAACAAAAATAATTGATATTTTACCCTTTTTTCTCTATATTATACCTTTGAAATTTGGTGTATATTTTACACTTGCTTCTCAGCTTGGACTAGATACACTCTAAAACACTCTAATCAATAGTCAGATGTGTCTACTGGCTACTGTATTAAGACAACACAGGACTAGAAGATCCAAAGCCAATAAATAAAGGTACAAATCAACACTGAGAAGGTTCCCTTTCATTATCTGTTGATGAAACTACTGTGCAGCAACACAGCTGAATGAATACTATTCTCATTTTCATTTCATGCTGATAGCCATAGTTCCATCAAACTATGCCCATTATTTAATATATGTTCTTCATCCTCAATACGCAATGTTAATACATAATATTGATCACATGTCACTGATGAGCATTTTACTTTTACCATTACCAATTATGTTAATCTGTTTTTCCAAACTAGCTAAATAGTATAAGTTTAAATTCACTAAAAATTGAAACATTTGTAGATTATGTTTTGCCAAATCTTAATTTTTTTAATATTTTACCTTCTGTGTTTCAATGTGCTTTTCTAAAATTTCTTGTTTCCTTTTCCTTACATCCTGCTGAAGTTTCAGTGCCTCCTAGAGACAGGGATCAAAAATATCATTAGATTACTATTAAGTGATAAAATAACTCCAGAGGAGAAAAGTGGTTGTAACTGTAGAAGCTCAAAAATAAAAATTACATGCAAAATTATATGTACAACTTAAATGTGTATGCAAGTTTCAAAGAGCAATCAGGAATATTCCATTCAGGGGAAAAAATACTGCCACACAATAAGGGATAAACGATCAATAGCAAACAATAGGAAGTCTTCAGTTTTATTCTGTGATAACCACTTAAACACACAGACACAAAAAGAAAAGTTTATCCATATGCAAGTTCTGTCTGTGCTATAGTAGCTGAACTTACCTGTTTCTTTTTCTGTGCTTCATTATTATCAACTGCAGAGGTGGAAACAAGTAAGGTTTTTTGCGCAGCCTTCAAAGCAGCTGGATTATACACCGTTTTTGTTAGGCCAGTAGATGTAGACAACACCTACCAATACAAATTTAGTTTCTTAAAAAATTTATCAACCATTCATAATTTCCTAAGTCCTATTTTCCACAGAAAACTCAACTTCTGCAGAATTTACACAAAAAACAAAACGCATTATGAACTTATAGTAAGTCACATCTGGTAATATGAAAGAAGACTATAAAGAGGAATAAGCCCAAAAATGAAAAAAGTTTCCAATTGGCAAAATAAGAAAAATAATTTATAGAAAAATAAGTAAAAATAAACATACAAAAATATCAAGTCAAAAACCACTGCCATTATTGTATCACTCAGAAAATACTAGCACTGAATACACTTACTGCTACTGTATGCAGTCACTACCAGTGACTAGAGCAAAAGCTTCTCAAAAAGCATGGCACAGGAAGAGGCTGGATGTTGCCCTTCGATTTAACATGATCATTCCTAATATGCAGTTATGAAATAAAGGCACTCCCATTCTTTTGCTAGCAACATTCTATACTTAAGGGATCTTATTCTCTTAAACTTACTCAGGCTTCAGCCTTAACACAATCAAGTCCTCCACAAAGCCACAATCATTTTGCTTCTCTAAACAGATTCTTACATGAAATTTCATTTGCTCAGCTATTAGGTTAAAAACTCTATTAGCTATTTTTAGCTACCATTAGCTATTTAGTAAAAATTACCTAATGGTGTATTAATTTATGTGTCCTTTTCCCTGTCCACAAAGACCATTTCTCTTGGTGCTTCCAGAACCTAAGTCTCGCTAATCAAGTAACTCTGAGATCATGGGTAAGATCACGTACTATTTTATGCTGCAGTATGCTCATCAATAAAATGAGAAAGTTCAACTTGATGGTGTCTAATGTCTTTACAAACCCTCAAATTCTCTTTTGGAGAGCAGGGATTATTTTTTCCCTTGGTTCATTGCTATATCTTCAGTAAATAGAATAGTGTCAGGGTACACAGTAAATACTCTATATAAATGGTGTGTCAGCAAACTAAACTGAAATGATTATAAGTCAGAATGGACAATCATTCCTACGAAAGGGTTAATTTTTTAAAAAGTGTTTATATGCTGCTTTTTAATTTCTTCAAAAGCAAGAGAGTTTTAAGTTCCACCGAGGGTGTTTACTGGTTCTTAGAGAAAAACCTAGGGATCTCCTCAGGGAGATCTATGAATGCTTTAAAATCTAAACATGGACCCATGTATATGAATACTGTAATTTTCCAGAGGAAAATAATGCTTCTAAAAACTTACTGGAGTTCATGATCTGAAAATGGTTAAATGAACTACTCAAATGCAAAACTATCAATGAAAAAAAGGCCCTACTTTTAACTACTAAAATGTTAACGTATGGGCATATCAGAGAGAAGTATCAATCTGGAGACCAATTTCTAATCTTTTATCATGAAATTAGATTAAAGAACAACACAAAGTTTAGGCAACTCATCACAACTGGGATTTGAGAATATCCCACTAGTGGTGAAACTATGGCATGCATGCCACAGTTGGCTGTTTATTATCTTTGAAAGCTCTATAAGGTTTGCCATCATTGTGACTTAGCCTCTAGAAAAAATAAAAATCTAAAATACTGCAGGGGGCCAGGGATTTAACTCAGTGGTTCCGCTGCCTGCCTCACATATGCAAAGTCTTGAGTTCGATCCCCGGTACCAAAATAAATAAATAAAATACTGTAATTACAGTTGTTTCATACAGCACAATTGATGTTTAAAAATAAAGAAAGGCTCTTAACGGTAGTTGATATGTACCAAAATTTGACTAATTTTGTTCAGTGATGAAAACTCAGATATCAACAGGAATTATGAAATGGTTACATTCTTTAAGATACAAACAGATTTAGTTTACAGTCCAAGTTCAGTGACCATTCTCTGTAACTCTGAAAAAAAAGTCTGTCATGCTACTTTACCACAACACAAAATGCCAAACTGTATTACATAAAAGAGAAACAGTAACTTCATAAAGGGAAAAACACAATACTGTGTGCTGAAAAAAGTCTGAGTATACTGTTTTCTTCATGAGGATTCCACAACAGGTTGAAAAGCTGTGACCATAAAAGGTTTCTATACTCAATTAACTTGGAAATAGTAAATATCACAACCTTATTTTCCAGTGCCAAATGTATATTATTGTAATAGAAGCAGTGGGAAACCCAGAAGCAAAGAAATTCATATAATGTTTAATTTAGCATTTCTCTAACTTCACTAAACAGGGAGTGTGCCTTTACAAAGCATCTTTACAATCTGTTTTATCAGACTAAGAAGTGCTCCTTCAAAAGAAATAAAACTATTTGACAAGAATAAAACTCCTTTATTCCTAGAAGCCCCACTGCCATGTTCCATTCAGTAACTTCCTTCTGTAAAAACAGGACAGCCAGTCAACAATGTATTTCATTGAGCCATAAGTTTCAAGGACTCTTAAGATACATATTCCTTTTATATGTCCATACGTTTAAAAAAAAAAAAAATCCCAGGCCACCATTATGATACAACCAGAAATACCAACAACTGTAAGATGCAGCCCAAATTCAAAGGTGTTAAAATGTAAAAATGTGATTTGGAAATAATGAACTGATTACAAATATTGCTCACAATTTAAATATTTTTAAGTGTTTAGAGGGAAATGGAGGGAAACGGACAATCTAACAAAAAAGATTATGCTATAATTCCTAAGAGCAGTCAAAGCTTAAGTAGTAGTATTTCCAAACAACCACACCTTCTGTATTTTGCAAATCGTTTTCTGCATGGTATGGCTTGTATTTATCTAGGTATCCCCCCCGCCACCAAAGCCTCATGACATCATAGGTGAGGGCTTTTCAGAAATGGCTGGATCTAGAGTATGTGATGCTGTGATTAAGGCTATGAGACTACTAAATTAGTCCACTGATTGGCTTGCCATAGTTCTGGGTAGGATTAAGGGTGGCCCACCCCGGGTGTGAGTGTTACCTACTCTAAGGGCAAGGATGTAATATAAGGGACAGAAAGAGGGTCATTGCTTGTGGCTTGCTTGCTGCTTTGGCTATTTTCTGTCTGTCATGAACTGCTTCTATGATGTTCCCCTGCCATCCCACCCTGTCTTGGAGCCAGCCAATTATGGGCTGAAACTTCTACAAACTCTGAATCAAAATAAACCTTTCCTCCTTTAACTTTAGGTGTTGGGTATTTTGGCTCAGCAACAAGAAAGTAACTGAGACTGCATGTGCTGTCATTTTTACATACTGACTTTATTTCCAATGACCTTCTGCATTTACTATTAATCCCAATTATCTGTGAATTATTTTGGATTATCTACATACATAATCATGTAATCTGTGAATAAACTTGTTTTGATTTCTCCTTTCTAATCTTTAGATGGCTTATTTCACTTTCTTATTTTATTGAACTGGTTAGACCTTCCAGTACAATACTGAAAACGTGTGATGACAGTGGACATCCTTGTCTTGTTTTTAAACTTGGAGGGGAAAACATTAATTCAGTACTGTACCACTCACTGAATAGTGTTTGCTGTAGTGTGTGTGTTTACTTGAACATATTTTTAAATATCAAAGTAAGAAAGTTTTTAACACACACTCTATACCAAGTGTCCCTAACTGGGAATTCTGGTGAGAAACAGAATTTTAATGTTAAATTTAAAAAGTATTTTTTAGAGAACAGACTTTTTCTTTTAAGAAGTCTACTCAGTCTATCATACTAAACTTTAAAAATGTTTAATTGACAAAAATTGTGTAGTTATCCAGTAGAGCTTGTTTTTTTGAAATATGTATCTTGTTAAATAGCTAAATTGAGGCAATATTTGCATTAGCTCACCCATTTTTCTGTAGTGAGAATTCTGTAATGTACTGGGTAATTTTCAAGAATATAATACATTGCTAGTAACTGTAGTAATGATGCCATACATACCTCTTAAACTCATTATTTCTAACTAGCTTTGTCTCTTTTAACCAACATCCAGTTCCCAGACCTCCATCCTCTGATATCTACACTCTACTCTGCATCCATTAATTTAACATTTTTAGATCCTACATATCAAATAGGTTAAAACAACAAAGGAATTAATGCTTTTAGAAATATTTTAACAAATTCGAAGTGTTTACAATCAATAAACTTTTGCTACATTAGAGCTCCCAGAAAGTTTAGCAAATACTTTTAAATGTTGTATTTTCCTATAATAAAAAATAATATAGGTGATAATCCTGACAGAGGACAATGAATTAAAAAAGTAATTATGAGGGAAGAAAAAATATCATAAATTTCCCTAATCTTTATATTTTAAACAGCAAAATTACACAAAAAAGTCCAAAGTTAAAAATAACAGGGTTCTTAGAAAAACATCATTTTATAACTAAGAAAACTCACTGTTTAAGACATTTAGTATCATATACAATGGCAGCTGTTAAATCACAAAGTAAAGTTTCTATAACTCTGACATGCAATATTTTTCCAATTAAATCACATAACTTCCTTTCAAAAGTTCTGTGGTACAAAGATTAATAACATATCACCATGAGACAAAAATGTATTTTTAGATTGTAAAAATATACTAAAACAATATACCCTGTATTATGAGTACCTAAAACTGATATTTAAGAATTTAAATATTCAATTCATTATTCAGTTTCCCTTCATAAAATACAGAAAGGCTTTAGCAAGATAATATGAACAGTCTACATCTTTTTAAGAAACTAACCAGATGGTTTATACACCCACTACCTTTATGCTTCATAAATCTCTGGAGAATAGGCTACAAACATTTCAACAATCAAATCTAAGCCTATTTAATAGCTACTACAATCTCTTAACAGCATCAATTAGATTTTAAGTTTTCTCTTCCTAAGCTCACAAAAATGGAATCTTAGAATAAGCACCAAAGAGTTTCATGGATATTATTTATAGGAAAGGATATAAAAAGTTTCATTTATAAGATTATTTGCTTTAATAATAACAGAGGATATTGTACAGATAATAACTTTGAACTTTCCCTTTTCAATTTAGAAAGAAATTTAAAATTTTTGAATAATATTTGATGATGGGGAAGTTTTCTAGATCTCTGGATGTTTGCCTCTAAGCATTCTACACTAAAACACTCTATAGGATAGGGAAACACAAACAACCAAGAATAAACAAAAGAAAAATGCTAAACAGATTCATTAAGATGACCAAGTCACATTCTTACATAAATAACTATTTTCCTTAAGTGATCTTTATCAAGTAATTTTTCCATCATTAGCCTATTACTGACTTTCATAAATTCAGTTAGTGGCTATTATATTAGTATAATATACATTAATATACATTATCAATTCTGTACTCATTTGATTTTAAAGCTAAATAAAGGACCTTAAAAACAATGAAAGCAGTGTCTAAACATACTATAAAAATTTTGTAAAACCTGTAATTAGCACAGATTTCAATTTGAAATCTTGATGTAAAGAAACCATAAACATAAGCAGGTAGTATTCAGATTTGTCCAAAACTGCTCAGCAGTACATGCTGTATAGTAGATCTTAGTGTTTCTTTAAAATTCCTGAGTCACTTATTATCAAGGATAAACTTAAAGTAAATATTTGATACTGCTACATTTAGTAGTATAAACTAATAATGCAAAAACTCTGAAAAGAGGGACATCACATGGAAAAATGTGGTGGCTTCAGGCCAAACATTAGTGAGATCTTCAGTTTTTAAAGAATGCCTAGAATTTAGTTAGGCAGGAGAAAATGCACCCCATGAAAATTACCACCAGAAAAAGAAAAAAAGATAGGAAATGGCAAGAGACAGTAAATAGAAAAATGCTCCACAGGGCAAAAAGGAAAACCAGAACAAAAAGTGAAAGAACTACATTAATAACTGAGGTATATCAATAAGCTGTGAGCCACGTAAAATAATTTATGTGAGAAAAAGCTTTTCTAAAATAAAATATGCTCAGTTGTAAGATGTTGACAATGTAAATAGAGGTGGGGAACTCCAAGATGCCAGACAAGACACTGCACCTAGAGGCCAGGGAATTGAAGGCAGCAGAGAAAAAAGAAGTGGACTACAGACCTTGAGGCTTGTAGATTATCCATTTTAGAAAATGATGGTATCACTTTCACAGCTGGAGACTAGAAGTTAATTTATATGGGAAATACTCATTTCAGGCATGTTATGCCTGAAAAAACAGAGATGCCCCAGAAAAAGGTCTAATATACAAAATGAAACTCAGATTCAAATTTCTAGAACCACAGAAGTTTAACAAAGTAACTAAAGGAAAAAGTATACTGAAGAACAAGAGATGATAGCCTATCAGTTATCTCACAGGTTATTTTGTTTACCTTCAGTGTGAATTTCCTTTGTACTGTTCAGAATAAAAAGTCATGGAGTAGAAAAAAAGAGGCCCAGGTTCTAGTCTGGCTGAGCAACTCATAATGTTTAGATCATTTTATAAAACTATCTGGGCTTTTAGTCTATTGGGCCTTAGGTTATCCAATTCTAACATTCTATGATATCACAATACCACATACCTGAAATATCTCAAACATCAAGGCATTAACTCATAACGAAAAAGAAAACAACCAAGTCTATACAGAATTTAATTCCATCATAAATGGTCTTAAACATAATTTGTATTTACCCCTTCATCTTAAAAAAAGAAATAGCAAAATATATTATCAGGATCTATTCAACAGCTGTTGGTAATTAAAAAAACTTACATTTTTATCACCCCTTCCCATTTACAAAATATTTTAAAAAGTTATTTTATTTAATCCTCACAAAACTACATGAGGAAGATAAATATAACCATCACCATTTTACCAAAGAAAAGATTGAGAAAAGTTAATAGCACTGCCCAACATCATGCAGTTAGTAAGTGAAGTCAGGGCACAAACTTGGGTAAAATTCCTAGTTTATGGCCTTTGCTATTAAGCTTCCAGCTTTCAAATTAAAATGTACAGTATCTTGAAAGAAAATAAATAGAAAGGAAAAACTAAAAGAATGAAGCACATAGAAATAGGCAAATATTAAAATGTTGATGCAAAAAGTAAATAACAGTAGGCTAATATTTCTCTTTCAGCAACAGGAAATCAAAAAGGTAGGTATAAGAGATACAGACACTATTAAGAAGCAGAAGGTTGGAACTATGAAAAAAATTAAAAATTAAGATGCCACCTGAAAACATTTACAAAGCCAAGACAAACACATCATGCTATTCTTACCTTTTCAGTTGCTGAAACAGATGGCTTTGATACAAAACCCAACCTGTCCTTCACAGATAACTTAGTTACATTCTAAAAAAATTAAAATGGACATATTCAGTGTTTCCCCAAACATATATAAATCTGTTGGGATTTTGAACATTCTGATTTTACTAATACACACCAATTCTATGAGATACTGATGCTAATCACAAAAACTTGGGCATTATTTAAAGAGGAGAAAGGAACGGAGGGAGGGAATGTATATAGAAAAATAAAAGTAACAGTATGCAATAAACAGTATGCAATATTATTCAATCATGAAATATTGCAATGTAAAATAGGAGGTCTGAATCAGGTAACTGCTGAAGTTCCTTCCAGATACCAGAATCACAAATTTTTAGCATCCTATGTTACCAAGCAAGAAATCTGTACATTTTAAATTAGATTTGAATAATTAAGATATGTTTTTCTCAAGCTTAAAAATAAGTGTCCTATATAGAACTTAGCTAATCAGTGGCGTCTATTAAGTTGGAAACTATATCCTATTTTATATAGAAAATTCTAAAACATCTGGAGTAAAGGGAAAGCTAAGTTTTGAAAACTGTAAAAACAAGATATTGCTGCTCAAATGTGGAAGGAAGTAGGAAGGAAATGACATATAGAGGAGAGAATCCCAGAGTTAGGAGTAAGTGATGCAAGCAAGGCAAGCTGCCTAAGTACCTGAAACAGTATAAGGCATATAAGGCATGCTTAACTTGTTTTAAACCCTCTCTTCCCAAAAACTTTTAGTCTACTGCACAACAGAATTCTAATTAAGTAAAAAGATGATGAGAAAAATAAAGATTCAGTGTACTAAACTTCATTCTTCTGGCAATTCTGCAGATATTTTGCAGAAATGTATCTCTTCTACTGAGAAGAAATCTTTCTCATACATTAAGAATTAACTGAATAGAAGAATTCAAGACTATAAGTACTAACAGTGAAAATGTTATGGTAAGTAACTTACAGGTGGGGTTCAATTACATAAAGATCATATTTCTGTGAAAAATATATACAATTAGTATGTGACAGGTAGGACCTTCCATTTACCTGAGGAAGGTCTGAACTAGCACTCTGGGCTTCTGCCGGTTCAACAGTACTTGAAGGTACTGGACCCAACCGCTCTTTGACAGACTGCTTCACAACAGGCAAAATGGTCTGCTGGACTAAAGGCTGCATTACCTCAGAACAAGAAAAAAATTTTAAACAATCTGATTAGTTGGGGAACATAATTTTGTACTAACCTTATTTTGTACTAAACTGTATGTACATAGATGAATTTTAAACACAGCTTATAATCAAAACCCGTGTTTTTCAATCTCCACACATATATATGAGTTTTCTCTGCAAGAAGTTATAAAGCATAAATGTAATTTATGCTTCATTATGTCTAATAAATGAAAAACAAATAGCTATAATACACCTCTCTACGCAATTAATCATTATACAGTATAATACTGATGTGATAGAAAAAAGAAAGAGGGAGGGGAACAAAAAGGAATTTCTAAGGTGAACCAATAGTTTGAATTTATGGAATATACACAGCTATCATTTACTGAGTGTCTCCTATCTGCTAGGGATTGCTCTATACATTTTATATAACCATCTTTTAATTCTCTGAATCAGGGATTAATATCATACTTAAAGGAGAGAATAGGTTGGAAAGGTACAATAACTTTCTCAAGTCTACAGAGTTAACAGAAGGAAAGCTAGAATATGAATTCATATCCCTCTGACTCCAATGCCTCTGCTCAATGCTAAGAGTTCTCCAAAAGAGTATTTAATTTCACATAAATTTCTCTCTTACCTTTGGGGAAGTAGTTTGTAACTGCTGGGCGCTCCCTTCTCTGTGCCAATAAACCTTAATAAAGCGATTATTTAATACTGCTTCTGTACTTGATATTGCTTTCTTTGCTTCTTCATATGTTGCAAATTGGATAAGGGCACCTTCAGGATCACCATTATAGGCAACCTAAGATTTAAAATATCCTAGAAGTGAATTTCTAAAAGAATTTGTTGCTTTATGCATTAAAATTCCTCAAGGTATGAAATTTTGGTCCTTCCAAGAAAGAGGCTATCCTCATGTCTCCTTAAATCTAGAGTATCACCAGTCTACTTTTACTCCAGGAGAAATAGTAACCAAAGATTTTCATAGCATGGGAAAAGCATCTTCCATTTAACAGCAGAGTGCTGATTGCAAAAATGTTATACACAGCATTTAAAATGTTTCTCTTTATACCTCTGATTTTAATACTGGATATAAGAAATAATTCCTATAGTCAATGAGTAACATCACCAAACTCAATACACTCTAAAGAAGAGAGTATACCACTTTGGAAGAGGTGATTCCTAGCTCAAAATTACATAAAAATCATCTGTACAACAGCCTCACTTTGTAATTTTCACAGTATTTCAACAGCATAAAAAAACTTTGAGGGGGGAAAAAAAACCCTACATCACTCACATCTGACATGTGAGGAATCAAGATTCAGGGAATAAATGATTCTGATAACTAAAAAGTCGAGAATATTTCACTCTAATTTTCTAGAAACAATTTTCTATTGTTTCAATAATATCAATGTTTACCAAAGTGTGATATATAAACCACAGAAAGTGTGCAGCATCACAAAAATCAAACTGCTTGGCTCAAACCTTGACTGACTTCCACATGAACAAGCCATTTAACTTTTCTGTATCTCAGTATCCTCTTCTATACACGGGAATAGTAACATTACCTACTCCTTAGTGTTGTTTTAAGAAGTAATTTACTTATAACAGAAAATAGTATTCAATAAATATTAGTTATAATTTTAATGATTTGAGATAACATTTTATTAGTTATACATTTTTAGAATTTAAAAGCATTAATTTCACCAAGATTTAATTATGTGAACCTTAAGAATTTAATTTTAAATGATTTTGAAAAATGTTTTCTAAATATTGCAATAATACGAAGATATAGCAAAAGAACCAAAAAAAGATGTCAACTTCACTAAAAACTGCATAAATGAACAAAGAAACAAGAAGAGATACTATGTTCTGCCTCAGTTTTGAAATATATTTTAAATTTATATTACCAGTGTAGATAATTTTATCAGGAACTGAGAACTTTTTCATGTCTAGATAGGAATGCAGTAAACTGAACTGCCATGAAGATATTAAAAGATATGCAAATTAAGGTAAAAGTTACAGGATAATATGCATACTACCCATACTTCCAAGTTTAGTATAAGCAGACACACCAATACACACAAAAAAAATCTAGAGTAGGACATGGTAAACTGTAATAGTGCAATTTTATACAGATCAGGGAATGTGAAGAAAAAAAGTTGAAAAGGAAACATTTCCTTTAAATGTTTTATACATGTCTATTTCCCTACTTCAAACATGCCTTCCCCATCTCCATTACTTTCGTAAGTGTATGTTTAAAATAAGTTTGCAAAATAGCAACTGAAATTGAGCCTTTTACCTCTAAAATTTTTTGATTACAAAATATAATTATAAAACATTTACTACTTTAGTTAAAAAGTAGAATCTAGAGGAAAAATCCCTATATTATTTCAACACTTAGATTATATAACATAAACTAAACAACCCTAAAAAAACCTCACAATTCTATCTGCTTAAGCCAATGTCTTATTTTAGAGAAGTCAAATACAAACTGTATTATTTACCATGAAAAGTGGTTTTGTAAAAAGCAAATATTTAAAATAATTACTAATTACATGGTATTTGGGCCCCAAAATTCATCCAACTGTAGAAGTGGCAAAAATAAATCTGACTGAAGTATTCTGTTGAAATGTTTTTGAGGAACTGATGAACTGAAAACTACTATAACAGCAGATATCACCAGCATGATAATTTAATTTTCTTGTAATTTTATGATAAGCTCTATTAGGTAAAAATTGTATACTAGCATGATAAATCAAACTCATGCCTCTGAAATAATCAAACAGACTCTTAATTCACCGCTCCCAGCCCAGACAAAGGGGATTCTGGGCGGCTGCCACCATTCCACCTCGCACAGCCAAAAGGAGGTGAGCCACAAGGGCGTCAACAGCAGCAGCAGCAGCAGCACCACCACCACCACCCTCCCCCCCGTAGAAATGAGAAGACACGTAAACAAGTCTCAAAACGAGACTTCCAGATCACCTACAACAACCTGAAAGGGAAATGAGATGGAATACTCCGACACTCAACCACCTGGATTCCCTGAACTGGCAACAAAAGAGGACCTGGAAAAAATGAAATCAGAAATAATTTCTCTGATAATAGCAGAGATTATGCCCATAGTGCAAGACATGATTAATAAATCTAGAGAGGAAACAGATAAAAAAATAGAGGAGCTGAGGAATATGATGGAATCCCAACATAAAAAACAAATGGAATCCATAAAACAGACGCAAACAGATTTCCAGGAGATTAAACACTCCACTGAAAGTCAGAATGAGCCAATGTGAGGACAGAATTTCAGATATAGAAGATAAGATTGCTATTAGTGACCAGGAAAAGAAAAATTTCTTCAAAATTGTAAGGGAGCACTAGAAATCAATCCAGCAGCTGCTAGATGACGCAAAGAAGAATAACATAAGACTGAT